ATAGGTACCCTAATGCACCTTAAACATTTTTAGGTGGCGATTCTTCTTCTTTTAACACTCTATCTCCCATCCAAAAGAGTTGTCTCACGTCGAGGCCCGCTTTTGCGAGAAAATGGGGGCACGACAGTGGGTATAAAGAAGATGTATGATATCTCTGAAACTCTTACTTTAACGAGATGATGGAGATTTAGGACTCAACCATCTCTCTCGGCTAGCTTTCTCTGAAGAAAATATTGGAAAAGGTCTCATCCTATAGTTAAAGTTGTTATCTCTACTGATTCACCTACATGGAAGAGCCTTATGAAAATCAAGGCCAAAGCTGAACCTTACATTCAATGGAAGATCCCGACGGGCAACTCCAGCTTCTGGTAGGATAATTGGACAAGTAAAGGGGCCTTAGCTAAAATATACCAGGGCCCAGGTAAGTCTGCAAAAATTACTGTTAATCAGTTTATTGTCAATAACAACTGGGATGGGGATAAGCTTAACTCTATGGTTTCAAATCAAATGACTAAATATATTTCTAATATTACCATTGGTAATCAGAATAATGTTGATTTCCCTATATGGAATGATTCTGAGGATGGAGTTTTTTCTAACAAGTATGCTTGGAACTCTATTAGAAACCATATGCCAAAGAATATGTTTTTAGCAAATACAGTCAGACGTATCTATAACAATATCCCTATATAGCAACACTTCACTACAAAAGCCAAGTTTTTTCCAGAACCAATTTTCATGTTATATTATAATATATGTTCTCTATAACAACACTTCTCTATAACATCCAAAAATATTCGAAACAAACGAGGTTGTTATAGAGAGGTTTGACTGTATATGGAATAATAGAGTCCCTTTTAAAATTTCTTTCCTAACTTGGAGACTTGTTAAAAAAGACATCCTTTTGATGAAGTAGTTAGCAGATTTGGAACTAACACCACGCCTAGTTGTTGTTGTTGCAGGATTACACATAACGAAATAATGCAACATGTATTTATGGAAGGTGATGCAGCAAAATACATATGGAATGCCTTGGGCAACCTTTTGGGAATTCAACACTCCGTTCAACCTATAATTGGAGTCCTCAAAAATTGGTGGGATATAAAATCCTCCAATGCCATCCATAAAATGATCCTACAAATCACTCATATATTCATTTGTTGGGAACTATGGAAGTAAAGGTGCACTTGTAGATATGGTAACCAAACGAAGTTCCAACACAGTAGAATGGTGTATCAAAGCATCTGGAACATTAAAGCTGCTCTTCTCAATCTATGTCCTAGCTTGAATTATATCACCCAATGTCCTGTTCTATGTAATACTATTGAAAGATTAAAACTAATTCAAAGTTGGAGTCAAGTTGTCTGGAACAAACCTCAAGAGGGAACCATCAAAGTTAATACTGATGGTAGTTTTTTGAAAGAAATTGGTAAAGTTGGGGTTGGTAGTATAGTCAGGGATAGCCAGGGAGATCTTATCATGGCCTTTTCTGATTATATCTAGTGTAAGATCAATAATATGGCAGAAGCTATGTCAGGTGAGTTCGGAGTAAAATGGTGTAGCCACCATGGCTTTACTAATTTTGCTTTGGAACTCGACTCTATGGATAGTCAACATATTGCAAGACAATCATGCCAACAATTTGAAGCTCAAACAAGTTATCGACAACATTTTAGCCCTCAAAGAGCTGTGTGGGATGCATGTTACTCATTGTTACAGGGAAGGTAATCAAGTAGCAGACTGTTTAGCCAAGTTGGCTTCAACAACATGCCACAATTTGATTATTAATTCATATCAGCATCTCCCCAGAAATGCCAGAGGAGCATATCATCTTGATAAAATACAAATACCTAGTATTAGAACTAAGTATGACAAGGCCAGCTTTTATGTTAGTTAATGTATATATTAGTTCATGCCAGAAGGATTCAGTAATTTTGTTATTCTTTCTGGCTTTTTACTGGTGATGACATCACCTTCTCGCATTGTAACTTGAGGTAAGGCCTAGTCCCTCTCTATTCTCTTTTGGTTAATACAACACAACCCAGTACCACTGGGCAACTTTATTTTTAAAAAATTATCAATATTCTTACTACTCTCTATTATTGGAAGAATTATTCTTTTCTACTGTGAAGAAAGCGACAATTATCAATAAGATTTCTACTACCTTATTCTCAATTTGATTCTTTATTATTGTTATTCCTTTATCATATCAAGAATATTTGGAAAAGTGAAGTAAATTGACTGTTAGAAACCCGAATTATTCTATTTATTTGTTTTAATTACAAATACTTTTTTTTGGTTAAACAACGTGCAATTGTAGTGATGTGATTAGACAGTTTGCCTTGTTTGGTCAACAGAAAATTGACTGAAATTGAAAGATTGCAATTACACTCTCTAATTTTCAATAGGAACAAATAATTAGTAATAATTATATGGTGTAATTACTAGATGACTTTTTATTATTTTTTATTATGATAATATATATATTTGAATGTTCATATAAAAAAGTTTATTTATTTTTTATAATTAATTTCTATTTAAAATAAAAGAATATTCAACTATGTAACTATAATTATGTAAGCAAACATGACATAAAAAATTACACTATAATTACGTTATGACAATCAAATAAGCCATTGTAATTACTATACAATTTAATTGCTAAAGTATGTATTTGCTACCTTAATAATTACGTACAACCATGTAATTACACAATAATTTCCCAACAGGCCCTTAAGTTTCAGTTTGTCCAGTTCTCTGTCTAGCAAATAGGGGTGCTTATAGGGCGGATCGGGCAAAAAATTAAGCTTAATAGTTTGGCTTGTCGGTTATCGGATTATAAATGTAGTAATCTGTTAGCCATCCAGTAAGATAACGGGCAGATTGATATCGGATTAACGATTATCGGGCGGTTTATTGGCTAAATCAAATAAAATTTTTTTAAACAATCCTAGTCTTGTGAATACCAAACGGCCAAACATGATAAAGTGACTCGATTATAAGTTCCATCCCCTTTTAGTTTACCAGGCTTGTTAACATATATTGCTACATGATAGATCTGTTAACACTTTGTAATTTGTACTGCACTTACTATAAGTATTTCTTTTGGTTGCATAGCTATCCTGTTTCATATCAAAAAAAAAGGGAAGACTAAAAACTAGTCAAACTGACTGAAAACTTATATACAATCGGAATTCCCTACACCTACAAAACTTGAGTGAAAACTTGAAGGCATTTTCAGATTTATTTTCTGATAATACTCCTGTAACTTTTGTTGATCCCATATAAAAGTGTAAATATAAAATTTCTTAATGAGTTATCGGTTTATCCGATAAGAAAATTGAGTAATCCGCCTCCAAACCGTTAATTATAAAAAATATCAATCCGTTCATCAACCATTACCTCGATAACCCGATACCCACGAACCAATATGCCATCGATTCGATTCGATTAACGGTTACAGTTCGATTTTTAACGGCCCTACTAGCAAAAAGGGCAAAGAACAAGATTGAGATAAGAATAAACACAAAAGATGGGGGAAAAAAATCTGACCAAGTGTTATTTTCAAAAGGGTTTTGTTTTCCTTTTTCTTGGGTACCATGATTTCGCGTCCACCTTATTTATTTTTAATTTTTATTTCATGCTCACCATATCTTTTGTTTTTATTTATTCCAAATTTTGTTATTGGTGCCAAGAGTCAGCTATGAAGATTTACAATTATGGCCTCCGCCGGGTTTAATCAAGGAGGAGAGGGGTAGGGAAGTAAAGTTATGATGATGATAGATTAACGTCTTATAAAATGAAGTTGAGATATCTATTCAACCTACGTACCTTAATCACCAACTATCTCTTCAACAATCACTCTCTAGTAAGTAAGCTATGTTGTGTGGCAATTTTGATGATGTACAAATTATTTTGGGGTCCTTTTGAGATCAGCTGAAAAGGGAAACTTAAGGATCTCCAACAAAATTTATTCCCTTTAAAATAAATTTATAGATCACTAGTGAAGAAAAAGAAGGTAAATCAAGATAGATGCTTTTTATTTAAATTTATTGCGTAATTAGTCATTGACATATTAATTTTATGTTAGATTTAAATTTTATACGCTAACAATGCAATAATTTTACACCATTACTGTATTACATACTATAGTAGGTTAGTTATTACTATTTTTTTATCATGTTATCAATTAATATTCATTATAAAGATTTACATATAATTACCGTATAAATAATCTAATTGTATAAAAAAATTTATCACATCTATAGTACATAGAAATTACTCTTAATCAAATACTGTCATATAAGGTGTTGAAATAAAGAAATTACTAAAAGTTTCACGCTTGTTTTAAATTGCTTTCCGTTTCCTTTTCATAATCTTGGTTAAGTAGTCATCAACCATCAAGGTTTTATTAACTTGTGCTAGGCTGCTAGCTAGTAGCAGAGGCCATATGTGTCATCTTGAAATCTCATTAAATAATTCAAATACGCTATCTTCTTCCCTGCATTAAAATAGACTTTTTTAAAGTTTCATTAATTTGTTAAATGAAGGAAGTAAGATAAACTAATGCTGGTACTAATACTTAGTAGAAGAAATAATTAGTTGAGTGAAAAAGGAAACGAGCAAGAAGAACGACCTTTTCTCCCCTTTTCCTCCCCCTATTTCTTTCTTGTGTTTAATTTTCTCCCTCTGGATTAACGATGAAGCTACGAATTTCTCTAAGGTCGTTCAAACTTGAAAGAAGAAAAAACATTCTCCGACAAAGAATATTTAATATATATTATATATTTCTAAAACTTAATATTTTACCTATATATACAATGTAATTTCACGACGAAGAGTGATAGGTTGTTCTTATAAAAAGTGAGATTAATAACTTGAAAATGAGGTAGGTTATTCGATACTAAAAAATATACTGATTTTGCATAAAAAAATATATATCTACTGTAAATAAATAATTCTATAATAAAAAACCATCACAGCAGCTCCGTCTTTATTTAAAAAGTATACTCTATTCTTGTAACTTCAACTCTCTTTCCAGAAGGCGATTGCAGAGACAACAATCACTGCAACACATAGAGTAACAAAGAGAGACAGAGACAGAGAAAGAAAGAGAAACAACAGACAGAGAGAAGAATTTGTTCATTTGTTAAGGATGCTTTGGTTTTGAAATCCCACAGAAGCGAAAACGATATCTGAGAGCTGCCTTTGCAATCTTTATTTCCGACCTGCACCTCCATGAGGTAATTGTGCTTAATTACTTGGATAAACTGAATTTTTCTTTCAAAATAAAAATTTGAAAAAGAAAAAGTCCTTTCTTTGATTATCTCTCTTTTCCAGCTCTTTGCATACTTTTTTTATATTTTCCTCACTCCTAATTATAGTTGTATCCATGATCTCTCTCAATATATATATATATGAAATAACTGTGTCGCAAACGTTTATTTGTTTGTACTATCTTATGCTCGATCCACGGCAGAGGAGCAGCCAATTACAGCGAAAGAAGGAGGTGGGTTAATTTACGGCGATGGTGGAGGAGAAAGAGATGATTAGATGAGATGGTCATACACTTTAACAAATCTAAGGCCGTCCATAATCCAATTCAGCTCCCAAAAAAGTCCATTTCTTTGGATAATTCTATGTCTCAAGATTATCATCACCAAGGTCTTTTTAGTTTCTCGAGTGTATTCGAGAAACCTCAAAACGAACAACAACAACACATCGCTCACCAGATCCGACAGGAAAAATTAAGAGTAGAAGGGTTCAATCCGCCACCGCCCTTGGTGGCTATTGAAGAAGAACAATCAAGTGGACTTCAAGTTTATGGGACCGCTGGAATGTTGTCTGAAATGTTCAATTTCCCTCCCGGAACAACCACAGCCACGGCAACTGAGTTGCTTCAAAATCAATTAACTCAATGTTATAGACACCCGAATCAACGGCCACAGCAGCAGCTACCTTGGACAACCAACCTAGGAAGTGAGTGGTTCAGTAACCGACAAGGGATGGTAGTTGGTGGAAGTTTGCAGGTACTAAGTGAATCAATTGATAATTTGAAGGAACTGAATGACCGTAATAATATAACTGCTCATTATCAGCGTCAGCACAACCAGATATCAAGTATAAATGCGGCGGAGTCAGCCATGAATCTTTTCGCTATGAATCCACAGCCAAGGTCACCCTCACCATCTTCTTCACATCCTACCACTACAACTCTTCAAGGGTTTCCTAATGCAGGAGGAGGGCATTTCGGTCAATTCATATGCGGAGGAGCAAGTAACACTGGGAACAACTTTACTAATGAAATCGGAGGGGTAAATGTAATTGAAGGGCAAGGTCTTTCATTGTCCTTGTCATCTTCTTTACAACATTTAGAAGCAGCCAAAGTAGAGGATCAATTAAGAATGAGTGGGGAAGAAATGTTGTTTTTCAATCAAGGAACAAGTGAAAATCATCATCATCATCAAGTTCATGTTGGTTTTGGATCTTCACTAGGACTAGTGAATGTATTGAGAAATTCCAAGTATGCCAAAGCTGCACAAGAGTTGTTGGAAGAGTTTTGTAGTGTTGGGAGAAGCCAATTATTCAAGAAGAACAAAGTTTCCAGGAATAACAACACAACAACAAGCTCTAACCCTAATTCTAATAACCCTAGTCGCAGTAATAATCATAATACTAATTCATCTTCTTCAAAGGATCTCCCTCCTTTGTCAGCTGCAGATAGGATTGGGCACCAGAGAAGGAAGATCAAACTTTTGTCCATGTTTGATGAGGCATGTGCAACCCCCCTCTCTCTCTCTCTCTCTCTCTCTCTCTCTCTCTCTCTCTCTCTCTCTCTATTTCTCTAGAGGGTCAATGACCAATGATTATTGTTTGTTTAGTACGTTAATTATAAATTAAAACCACGAGAAAGGAAAGAACAGAAAATTCCGGCAGTTGGGAGGAATATTTTATAGAGGAGAATATAGAAAGCCGGCTAGAGAAATAAGTATTGTAATGTCCATAGATTGAGTTGGTTGAGTTTAATTTCATTTCATTTTAATTTAGAAATGAGTATTTGAACATATGATTTTGGTTTTGGTGAGAGTGTTAAAAAGTCCAGTGATAAAATTAGCTTGCACTCTACCATCATGCTAAATCCTTCTGCAAGAATATGTTAGAACTCCAGCAGCAGAAATTACGCGTAGATGTAATATCAATGTACATTTTTATTTATTTGGGACGGTCATATTTCAATACAGACAAAGCGATGCTACTTGCTGTGAGAATATAATTAACTTCATTTTGTTTTTGAAAATATTTATGATACATTATAGTAATTATAGTACTAGTATTACCTGTTGGTAGTATTGATAGAATGCTAAGCGAAGACATAGGCAAGTGGCAACAAACACACATACGATATTCACTCTTCACAACAACAATCATTTCGGTGTACTATTGTTCACATATACAATCAGCTTTCTACCTTTTCTGTCATTTATGTAGTAGTAGCTATCTTCCTTTCTTTTGTTTTCTCTTATTTTTCCCATCAATATTTTATTTACAAATGAAGATATTCTTCTTACTTATATGTAGGTCACAAATTTAGTAGGATCGGAGTAATTTTCTTGTTGAGGAAATGACTTCCCAGCTGCACCTTATGTTATTCAACTAACTAGACCAACTTTAATTTTCTGTTGTTTGTTAAGTTCTCTTTTTCTTTACTTTCTTTTGTTGTTATAACTTTATTTTCCATGTTATTGTATCATGTTTTATTATAAACAGATATCTATTAATCTGAGTACATAATTTAACGCTCTACAATTATTACGAGCAGGTGGACAAAAGATACAACCACTATTGCGAACAAATGCAGATGGTAGTAAACTCATTTGATCTAGTGATGGGTTTTGGAGCAGCAGCTCCATACACAGCACTTGCACAGAAAGCCATGTCTCGGCATTTCAAGTGTCTAAAAGATGCGATAGCAGCGCAATTGAAGCACAGCTGTGAGTTGCTGGGAGAAAAAGACACCACCACTTCGGGATTGACTAAAGGAGAAACGCCGAGGCTTAAGCTGCTCGAAAAAAGCTTAAGGCAGCAGCAAACGGCATTTCATCAAATGGGAATGATGGATGCAGAAGCTTGGAGACCACAAAGAGGCTTGCCTGAACGCTCTGTCACCATTTTAAGAGCTTGGCTTTTTGAGCATTTCCTCCATCCGTACGTTTTGCTTTCTCACTTTAATTACTGTCCTTTGGTTACAAGGATAAAGGATAATAATAATTTCTGAATAGATTATTTTATGTTGCGTTTAGTTGCACTTTAATTTTGACTCGGATATAAATAACTAATATTCCTAGTATACATATAAAATTAAAAAAAATGGGCATTTAGTGCAGAAACAAAAGTTAATGACGAAAGTTGCCCAGATCCCATGATCATGGCATTATGAACAGACAAAATGAATTTTCGTGCAATCAACTTTTATTAGTCTAAAACGCATTTCCAACACTACCAGAGTTTTTTTTCCCTTTCTTAATTTGCAGTCAGTGTTTAAAGGCCTGCTGGAATTCAGTCCTTTTTTCAAAGTTTAAAGAAATAAAAATTTACCCCTACTTTTTTGTGTGCAAGCACCACTTTTACCCTCTTGCAATCCAATACACTTATAGTGTTTCTCGCTGACCTAGGCATGCATATGAACATGGGAAAGAAAGTGACATATGACAATGTTTTAATTTTAAAAAAAAAGGATTTTGTCACATAATATATATANTACCAGAGTATTAAAACGGAAGAGTAGAGATGTCAAATTTTAAAATGAATTATTAATAAAATGAAAAGAATATTTTATAGTAATAGAATGAAACGAAAGAAAGTACAATGTTAATTAAGCGGATATGCATGGTAATTAATAACAATTGTATGACAAAAGTAATAGTAGAATCTATCTATCTATGTAATGAATGAATGCTATGAAAAAAGATGAGAGAGCTGCAGTTGTCTTCTCGCTTTACTTCTGCTTTTGCCAGAGCTACTGTCTACTGGTGGTGATGTTCGTCTTTCTTTTTTTTCGATATTGACGCCACCACTATACAGAAAAAAGAAAGCAAAAAGTGTCAATTCTTATCTACGGATAAGGAAAGCAATTCCATCTCTTTATACGGTTTAAGTAAGGGACTCTGATATCATTTTTCTACTTACTTTTTACTCAGGTACCCAAGTGATGCAGATAAGCATCTGTTAGCACGACAGACTGGTCTCTCCAGAAACCAGGTTTGCCCCCTCTACTCTAAATCCTCTTTTTTTTTCCTCCTTAACATCTTTCTTACTAGCTCAAGATATTCATAAGCTGCATGAAAATTAAACTACATTGTTAGAATTTATAAAAAGTGAGATTACCGACTTGAATAATAAGACAATTACTCCTACTTGTTATAGCAAATTAAACTACACTGATTGATTCTTTAAAAAAAATAAGTTTATACTGTTAAGGGTTGTTTGGCAGGAAGGATTGAAAAAGTAAATAGAATATAAAATTCTGATTAATTAATTAATACTCCGTCTGTTTTATTTTACGTGACACTTTTCACTTTTATCAGTTTAAAAGAATCATACCTTTCAATGTTTATCAATATTTTAACTTTAAACTTTTCATTTTACTTTTAATGACATGATTTCATTGTTACACATTTGTCATCTCATGTTTCAAACACAAGTTCTAAAAATTGTTATTTATTTCTTAAACTTTGTGACCAATCAAATGAGTTTATATAAAATAAAAGGAAGTATTGTGTTTGGTTAGAGTGATACATAAAAAATAATCTCCGCACGAACTTATGAAACATTTGGCTCGTGCATAATTATTTTTGGAATAGAATATGGAATAAGAAAATGCTTATTAATAATACAGGAAATAAAAATATTTAAAAAATATCCTTAAATATGTAATCTCTAAATTAATCTTTATATTAATAATTGTCTACTAATTTTTATTTACGAGGTAAATAATCCTTGCATTATCATTCTTACATAACTGGCATATAAACCATATCTGTATCCTTAGTGTACATATAAGTTAAGGGTATTTTTGGCGTACCTTGACACTGCTTCAATTCGTACCTTGAAACTGTTTCAATTTTTCAAGTTGCTGAACTCAGCTTAGATACTTATTGCGGATCTGGGTTTTCAATCTCCAGTTTTCCTTCCCTCGAATATAGCAATGCCAGAACTGTTTGTTGGCCCCCTTTATATTGTTCCTTTGGCTTATTTCCACAAAGAAATAAGTTCCAGAACGGTCAAAGAAACTCTAGGAATAGTAAGTTTCAGCGGCAAAGTACATCCATACATTAGGACACAGTTTGCTGTTTCACTAGTTTATACTACTCCTTTTATGTGGTGTTTGACGGACATATAGAAGTTGAAAAACAAATATCTTAAACACATACCAAAGTATCTTTAAAATTTTTGATTTTAAACATGTCTGGATTTTATAACTATAAGAGCATGTCATTAAGTAAAATAGAAAACCTTAGGTTAAAAGGCTACCAATAAATAAAAGTGTCATTTTCTGAAACAAACTAAAAAGGAAAAATTATCTGGTAGAATTTGCTACTCTCTTCTTCCTTATGTCTGTCCTATCCAACGACACTTTATTAAGTCATTTTTAAGATGGTAGATGATTAATTACAAATATTACAAGAATAGTAGATTTCAATTTTCATGTGCTCAGTATTCCTTGTGGACAAGATCTTAATTTTTTCCTAGAAGTTAAATGGAGAATGCTCTCGTATTAATTTATTGGCTTGTTAACCCTTTCCACTGAAAAGGGAAAAATAAAAAATAAAAACAAGACTGTTGACCACATCTACTCCCTGCTTAATTAAAACTTAAACATTAAATGAAGATCTTAAAAGATTGTTGATTGATACTCCTTCCGGTCCACAATAAATGATTTTTTTTTTTTTTTGGATATTTTCACACAGATTAAGAAATCCATCTTTTAACATTAATTAACATTAAAATTGATCATATTAACCTTTACTATCTCTTCACATAAACACTCCTAATACATACTTCAACATTATTTACTCCAAGTGCAATGTAGGAAAAAAATAATTAATTCATTCTTAAAATCTGAAAATATCGTCACAAAAAAAGGCCAAAAAATCATGACCGAAGGGAGTATTAAATTTGTTGAGTACTCTAAATAATTGTTAAGTTTAGAGATACTTTTCCAGGTAAGAGCAGTCAAATAATTCATGAATCTCTGGTGACATCATAATGAGAGTGTTATATTATGTAGTAGTAATAATGTTCTATTTTGCAGGTATCAAACTGGTTCATAAATGCCAGGGTGCGGTTGTGGAAACCCATGGTAGAAGATATGTATCAAAAAGAGGCTAAAGAAGAGGAAGACGATGAGATGGAAAAGAGCCAAAACAGTAGCAATAATATTGCACAAACACCAACGCCTAATTCCTCTACCAATACAATAACCACAGGAACTGGAACAGAAACAAAAACAGCTGCCACTGTCGCAGCAACAATATTAACAGTTGCTTCAGACAAAAGATCCGAAATTAATGTCCTAGAAAACGACCCTTCAATTGTTGCAATGAATAGGCTTTGTTTCTCGGAAAACCAAGCACAACATCATGAGTCTTCCTCTATGGCAACTCATGAAATGGCTCACAACAATTTCCCGGCGATTCAAGATTCCGATGACATGTCCCGTCGGGAAGCTGTTTCCGGTGTTGAATATGGGACCACAAATATTATGGCTAATTCAGATAATGGAACAAGGGTGATAAGATTTGGGACCAGTGTTGCTGGTGACGTTTCACTCACCTTAGGACTGCACCATGCAGGGAATCTACCCGAGAATAGTCATTTTTTTGGTTAAGCTGAGATTTTGAACGCTGCTCATAAATGAATCATGATATATTAGCACCACAATAATTAATTTATACCAAATTCTACTATAGCAAACCAGATTTTGGGGACACATAATTTTCTCTCTAGATAATGTTATTTTGTCACACGCCTTTCAGAAGATATAATGAGAAACAGTTACATTATCTTACAAGCACTGTCACATCTAATTGTGCAGTGCGTACGCATTCCCTATTTTTTGGTTGCTTCTTTGTACTCTGAATTTTGTACTGTATTTATCCGTAAAACGGTACACTTAAATTTATAATGTGGCTTATAGGCAAACGAATCGATTTGATCCAAAAATGATAAATAAATAAGAACGGAAATCAGATTAACAAATGAATTAAAGGAGATAACGAGCCTGATTCCAAACTCGGTCTTTCCGAGAGCAAAAATAAAGGCACTAATAAAGCAATGATAAAACTGTTTAGATTGAGCGTAAACTAGTAGAATAAAGCTTTGTGTGCAGAATGTTTCATCCCCTCCTATGGTTGCTAAGGCTGCTATTTGTAGTTTTATCTAGGGAGACAAGATCCTAAAGTCAAGCTCCTCCTGAATGAGAATAAAAACGTCATTGATGGTGTATAACGGCTGGCTTTGAATGCAGATATTCTGTTGCTCATTAAATGCTTTCTGATGTCTAACCTTTGAATCTCTATTATCAGTTATGCTTCCTTCGGGATCCATCCTGCACCGATCACATACTTCGCACCCGGTGCCACCTATCTGTTGACTCATCTTTTGCATGTCTTCGGTTTCACGTGTCACATTATCATTCAACCACCTGTTATCAACCAATTTCACCCCATACGGATAATCCTCCAACTTTCTGGTGACGCAACTCAGTTTTACCAGTAAGTAGATGAAGATTCCTTTCTTGGCGGGAAAGTTTCTAAACAGTCTCTGACACTTGAAGGGACGGACATCTTCTCGCATTTAATACCCCAAACATGTGTTGCCTTGTGATTCAACAAATATTTTTGCCGGTTATGGAGGTAATCATGACCACGACTTTGTCGTCTATAACTTCTCTGCTACTCATCATTTTTACTTCTTCACTTTCACCACTTCCACAACTCTTTCTCTTTCTATGAATTTCCTTAGAGCTTTTCCATAACATTCAACTTTCTCAGTAAGAACATCTTCACCGATCTTTAAACACCATGTCTTCTTACAATGCTACCTTCGAAAACACTGGCCTTCTCTTCAGTGGAGGCCCAAAGAAAAACAAAACCAAAGAGGTTGACATCGAGTCTGAACCTCCAACTGTAAACACCATTATACCCCTTTATCTCAGCACTGCGTCTGATCTCCAAGAGAAAACAGCATATGCAAACTCCTAAAGTAGCAGGTTTTGGCTTGTTCGTAGGTAACTTTCCTCCATTCGTCCTTCTAGTATCCCTACTGTGAAGGAGGACTGCAACTACTCCAATATCGAAATCCTCGCCCCAGATGGGGTAGAACGAGTTACCTACTCCAGAGAGGGGTTTATACATGTCTATACATATCCCTTTACTTTGGGTCCCTTCTCCTTGGTGTCAAGTGAAGCACTTGACCCAATAATTTTGGAATTTTTCCACCGGTACTAGGTCTTCTTGGTACAAGTAGGCCAATCGATATGGCGTATGTTATCCTACCTTCGTTAGTTGTGCGCCGAGATCGGAAAAATCCTAACCTTCGCACATATGATGAATCTCTACTCCCCCAAGATTTTACCCTGGGGAATGTTAAACTTCATCAAGTGTGGACATCATGCTCTCCTTACCAGTATGACGATGACAACAGCCACAGATGGATGGAGCGGTTCATAGTTATTGCTACCAGGGACATCATCCCGACCACAAATCCAGCTTTCTCCGAGTCGTGGAATCTTTTTCATAAGTCTTCGTATATTCATTTGCTTTCTTCGTAAAAAGATAATTTCTTGTTTTGCTGATTTCTTTTTTGACTTCCTTCTTCTCAGCTACTTGTTGGGAACCACCACGGGTTCACGGTTTGGATCGATGAGTTCAGAAAATTCTGGATATTATAACTATGAAATCTCGTCGATGGAAAGAAATGGCTCCCAAGTACGGGTGGAGAGCTAACAACCATGGTGAGAAAAATTTCTCTCTTCCCTTTTATTCCTTTTTTTTGTTTTATCTCAGTAGCTTAAAAGCAATTTACTTAATCATCTTTTTGCTTGTATATGGATTCCTTGAGGTTTTGTTGTGTTCCCCGATGTCGACCTTCTTGATGACCCCGAGGAGGCCAGGAGACTGTTGCAGGATGCCCTCAATCGAAGCAGCGCTCGTGGATATGCTCGAGCCTCCGGTGAGGGTACCTCTTCTCGGTGTCCCCATCCCAAGGATAAGAAATCGAAGAGGAGACGTTTCTCCTCGGCTGGGACTTAATAGAAGAGAATAAAGAAAATACCAACTGGGCCAACCATAAAGGTTCTCGATGTGAAGGAGAAGCCAGTAATTAAGAGGTTTCCCTTCATAGGAGAAAAAGATCTTCATCGAGTAAACCGTATGCTCAGCTGGAAGAGCTCCAAAACCCATTAGTGGAGTAAGTTCAGGTGCTCTGGGGTGAAAAGGGCCTATTGAGAATGCTGATTCTCGCTTCTAGGGAAGATGTAATTGTCTCTGGTCTAAGGAGTTCGACCCCTGAGCTTCTTATGCCCTCAACCTATGAGCAAACAACAACCACCATTTTTCCTGCCACAACTACTTCTTCTCCTTCTACATTGACAACTTCCTACCCATCAACACCAGATATCCCTTCTCCACCAGCATCGACTGCATCTCTTCTACCAGCATCAGCTGAACAAGCGAGGGGTGCTTCTCCTCTACGGTCTCCTGACCATGGGAACTTAGGGAACACTTATACGATACATTCTCAAGATCCTCAAGGGAGGTGAAGCACCACTCTTTCAACTTCAAATGAGTGCCATGTTCTCTCCAAGATAGTGGAGCTCGCCAATTATATGAAGTCGCTGGCTTTAGTGAAGGATTAAAAAAAGATGGGCTCCCCTTCTAGGGAGTGCCTGATGAACAATAGCATGCACTGTTTGCCGAGGTATAATTCTAACTTCCTTCTATCTTCTTTTACGTTTGTACTCGGCTATAATAACATCGAATCCAACCATTTTTTGCTAACCTCCTTGCTTCTGAGGGCCTGCAAAGGTTGATCTTGGACAAACAAGAATTTGCTTACGAGCGGGATCAACTTTTGGCTAAAAAGAACCAACTCGCCGAGTGCCTCCCGGTGCTGGAGGCAAAGGTTTCATAGATGAGCGAGCTTGAGGCTCAGTTACACTAAACCGAGCAAGATAACATGGCATATAGCCAAGAGGCTACCCAATTGCATGAAGACCTCATAGAGGCTAGGTCTAAGTGGGTCGAGCTTCAGGATATTGTAACCGTCGCTGTCGAACGCGAGTCTGCCTTCGAGGAACAAGTTAATAACCTGAAGCCCAACTTATGCTCCAAAATCGAGGAGGCATGTACTGCCGAGGAGAAGAGAGACAAAATGGAAGAGGGGCTCAAGAGGGTCATCGAGCAATACCGGCTTTACTCAACTACTAATGTTGAGCTTGATTCCCAACTCAGCCCAATGAAGGTTGAAAGAGAGGAGCTCCAGGCTGAAATTGATAAACTCTGAGCAAGACTCTAGGATCAAGAAGATTCCCTCGTCTTTGAGAAGACCTATGTTATGTACCATATGGAGAGAAAGACTTTGGAGGCGGCCAAAGTAAGTATTGCTAATATTGACGATTGCATACGCCCGAGAACTCGAGTTAATTGCTTGTGAGAATATTCCTGCTTGGCCCGCTGCAACTGACTCCTCAAAATACTAGTTCCAAGTATTCAGGAACCGAAGGGGAGACTGGAGAGGATGAAAACCCCGAACTGGCAGGGGAACAACCTCCTTCCGCTAGAAAGAATGAAGACCCTTCTCCCCTTTCGGGTTCTAGTTGTAAAGAATAATGTACTATTTTTTCTTTTATTATTTGTAATTATGCCAAAACATTTTACCAATTTTGGAATTTTAATAAATAAAAGAATTTTTTTCTTAAGTGTTGTGTAAAAATATCATTTTTACGTTTAGTTATTTTTTCATGCGATAGCTTTTGATTACGGGCATAAACACGTCCGGAATCTACCCTTTACTATGAGGGTTTCATAAGTGAGGGCCCTTATGTTCACATTGCTCTTGAAGAGGACATCTCCTATTCATTCCGGCACAAGCATTTGAAGTTTTTGTTAACTTTCAAACGACAAAATAAATTAACTTATTATTTGGACAAGAAATAGATAAAAATGAAAGGACTTTGCTTTATTCCCTCTATATTTAGAAGTACATAGACATTCATTTGCTTAAGTAAATAAATCTACTAATACATGTGGCTAACGTGTACAACTTATTTCTACGGAGCTGATCATGCAGTCCTCGGTCCTGATACTCGTGGCACTCGTGATGATGTATCATGTATTACTTCCCCCCAATGTTTGAATGCTAAGTATAACAATTCGAACACTGGAACTCTTGCATTTACCGTAGCCTTTTCTGCTGCCTCATCGGTGGAGACAACTCGTGAATGGTTAAATAATCATTTTTGGGAGGCATGACTTGCCGTCAAACCAAAAATTATTTAACCATCCACAATTTATTTTCCACACGAGGTTTAGTGCCTTGACATTGAAGGTCTTGCCTTTGCCGATGATCCTCCCTTCCTAATATGCTTTACGTTGGTGCCTCGTTATAAACCTTTCTAGAAAAAATCCAATTGGGACAAAAACTGGGCGAAGAAAAAAAGAGTGCGGCACATACTTTCAGTACCAGCAAGGATCATCAGCAATAGTACCTTTTGAGGTGAGTCACTTCCCAGTTGCTTGGTAATTTGACTCCATATTAATTTTCCAATCCATATGATCATTTCCCGGTGATAGCTGAAATCTAGTTTGGACCTTCCTACGTTGGTCCCAACTTATCGGCGTTGACTTCTCGAGTACTCTGAGTAACCTTCATTAAAACCAAATCTCTCACTTTGAAATAACGAAGATTTGCCCTACGATTGTAATACCTTACCATCATTTGTTTTTGAGCTACCATCCTCACGCATGCCAAATCCCGGTGCTCTTCGAGTAAATATAACTTGATTAG